AAGGATCTAATTGATGAAGCTAAAGCAGTTCTGCATCAACAATTCAAACTCAAGGACCTTGGAGAACTGAGGTATTTCTTAGGGATTGAAGTGTTGAGATCTAATCATGGGATATTGCTTAATCAGAGGAAATACAGTTTAGAGCTGATTTCTGAAGTGGGATTGAGTGGTGCAAAGCCAGCTTTAACACCACTTGAAATCAATCAGAAGCTTACAAGTGTGGAATATGACAAGGCTATTGGAATATAGGATGAAGATCCCTTGGTAGATGCAAGCAAGTATCAGAAACTGATAGGTAAATTGCTTTACCTGACAGTTACTCGACCAGATATTAGCTATGCAGTTCAAACCTTAAGTCAATTTATGCAGCTACCTAAAAGGTCACACATGGAGGCAGCCTTTAGAGTAGTGAGATATCTGAAGGGTACACCAGGAATGGGAGTCCTATTGAAAAGGGAGAATGTAGATACACTAACAGCCTTCTGTGATTCTGACTGGGCAGCATGCCCAATGACACGAATGTCTGTTAGTGGATATGCTGTCAAGCTTGGTGATTCATTGATTTCATGGAGATCTAAGAAATAACACACTGTTTCACGAAGCAGTGCTGAAGCAGAATATCGTAGCATGGCATCAGCAGTCTTAGAAATAGTGTGGTTGTTGGGACTTTTCTCAGAGTTGGGAGTGCAGGTTCTTAAACCTGTCACACTGTTCTGTGACAACAAAGCAGCAATGCAAATAGCTGCAAATCCTATCTTTCATGAGCGTACGAAACACATCGAGATAGATTGTCTATTTTGTTCGTGAACGTATCGAAGGATCGGTCACCGTTGGACTACACGTAGTATCGTACTACTAACGAAAACGACGACAACAAGCAGTACTCTNAACACATCGAGATAGATTGTCATTTTGTTCGTGAACGTATCAAGGATGGCACCTTGGCTACACAGTATGTCTCTACAAAAGAGCAACAAGCAGATCTCTTCACCAAAGGGCTTACATCTGTGCAGCATAATTTTCTACTCAGCAAGCTTGGAGTGTTAAGCATCCTCCACCCTCCAGCTTGAGGGGGAGTATTGGAAGTTAGAAGAATTAGAAGCTGGAATAGAAGTTAGTTGTAAATAGGACTCAACTGTAATTAATAGGAGTTAGGGGGTCTCTTATTATTTTTAGTTTTTTACAATTAGTTGTATATAACTACTTCAGTTAATACAGGAAAGGCGGTTGGAAATTTTCCAAATTCTTTCTTCTTCTTCCTCACGAGTTCTGTGCTCTCCAATGGTGTTTTTCTAACAAAAACCAAAGGAAGAGAATAAACATAATTCATAAGCAGAATAAAAAAAAGATGACAAACAAATCTGACGCATAAAGTACACACTCCAAATTGCTTAAAATTGAATAAAATATCATTTTAAAAATAAATTAATGTAACAAATAACTTGATGATACCTGTAATAATATTCTTCACCGTGCTTTCGTGGTGCTCGACCTTTTGCCCAAGATTTAAACTAGTGCCTGAAAAATAAGTTTAACTCGGTAAAGAAGTTAAAAGCAAATTATAAAGAGAAACAAAAAAATAATGGACAAGATATGCAGCTAAATAGAGGATATGAAGCTTCTTTATAGAGATGGAAAATATCAGAATGAACGGAAGAGTTAATTGTCCGCTTGCACCGGCATTTAAGGATAATTAGACATTAATTGACTTAAATTATGTAAGAAACAGTTCGTTTAATCATCCGTTACAACTCTTGATTGCCCTCACAATTGTTTGTTGTCTTTTTTTGGTAAAAACTGTGAAATATTACCATTTAACAATCAAATTAATACATCTTAAAGAGCACCTAGACACACTACCACCTTCTAGGAAGGGTGCAATGTACTCATAGGCCTCTAGTCATTCACTAATTATAAAGTTTCTGCAGCAAATAATCACATCTTCTGGCTTTTCTAGAGTTTCTGTGTATAGTTATTCTATCTCTAAATTCCTTTTGTATCTGTGTCATCACAAAGCTAGTATTTACATTGAGTCCTTTAAACACTTTTTCATTCCTGGCTTTCCAGGTGTGATAGATCAGGGCCCCCCAAATTGCTGGAGCTATTTCCTTTTTGAAGAACTTCCCGTGTTTCCTTTTAATCTTTTCCAGCACCTGCATTACAGTCCCTTGTGGTATTATCATATTTGTCCAGTTCTGTATCGCAACCCTCAACTCTGTTGTCCATAGACAATCCTGAAACATGTGGTCTTGGGTTTCAGCAACCATATCAATACATAAGCAACATTCAATGTCTTGTATTGGCACATGTAGTTTCGAAAGTCTATCTTTCGTAAGCAATCGACCATGAGCAGCTAACCAAAGAATCATCCTGTGTTTCGGCTGCATAATAAATGTCCATATTAGCTCTGCCACGGGTAGTCTGGTCAAATCCCCCTGTAGAGCGATGTAGCTACCATTTATTGAATACTTCCCTGAAGCAGTTAACACATATTTCCCATTATGGTACCACTCCATCATTTCAACTTTTAGGGAATTCAATTTCCTCCAATACCAACTACAATCAAGTAGAGGTCCATGTACCCATTTGACCCATAACATGTCTTTCTTCTCTGCTAATTGCCATAATAACTTGCCCACAGACGCAATGTTCCACTTGTTGCACCCTTTGATATTGAGCCTGCCATATTTCTTTGCAATACATAGTTTGTCCCATGCTATTAGAGGTATCTTCCTTTTCTCTACAGAACTTCCCCAAAGATAATCTCTACACTTTCTATCAATTTCCTTGAGTACACTTTGAGGTAGTATGAAAACAGATCCCCAGAAGTTATATATAGAGAAGAGTACTGCATAATCACCTGTAACCTCCCAGCATATGAAAGTTGTTTTGAGTAGACCACATTTATTCTATTGGTAATCTTGTCCACTGGTTGATGACACTCAATTTTACTCCATTTCTTTGAGCTTAATGGTAGTCCCAAGTATCTTATAGGAAGTTGTCCAGCAGAGAAACCTGTTCTGGCCAATAATGCATTGTTTGTTTCTTCATCCACACCAGCAATAAAAATATTAGATTTCTCCAGATTAGCCTCCAACCCTGGTGTAAAGCTTCCATAACCTTTTCCACAGATTCTATATCGCCTTTGCAGAATATCATAAGGTCATCGGCAAAAATTAAGTGAGTGAGCTTTAATGTTTTGCACATAGGATGAAATTAAACTCCGGCAAGCTGCTCATACACTTCAAAATTCTTGATAGGTATTCCATTACTAGGACAAACAATAGGGGTGAAATCGGATCCCCTTGCCCGAGACCTCTCTTCCCAGCAAAATATCCATGTCCTTCTCCATTTACTTTGACTGTAAACATAGTAGAAGAGATGCAGGTCATCACCAGTTGAACAAATTTTCCAGGAAATCCAAAACCACTGAGAGCTTCTTCAATGAACTCCCAACGCACCATGTCATAAGCCTTCCTTATATCAATCTTCATAAGACATCTAGGAGATGTTTTCCTATTATAATGTCTTAATAAGTCATGGCAGATCAGTATATTATGTATCATGGACCTACCTTGCACAAATGCTGCCTGATTTTCTACCACAAGGTGATCAATGGCCTTCCTCAGTCTGTTACATATCATTTTTGATATGCATTTGTATAGGACATTACAACATGATATGGGCCTGAATTGACTAGCATTATCTGGTACAGTGACTTTTGGAATTAAAGAAATCATTGTTGAGTTTACTTGTTTAAGCAATTTCCCATTGTGGAAGAACTCTAGAATAGCTGCAGTGATATCATCTCCTATAACGTCCCATGCTGCTTTATAAAAACCACTACCATACCCATCTGGTCCTGGGCTTTTGTTGCTATCTATTTGAAACATAGCTACCTTGACATCCTTTTCTGTATAAGGCTTTATAAGCTCAACTTGCTAGCCTATTGACAACAGAGGACCATTCTTCAGTATACTGCCCATTGCCCTGACCCTTATTCCTTCATTTCTTCCAAGTAATGTTTCATAATACTCTAACAGCACCCTTGCAATATCAGTGGGATTAGTCTGTAGCACCCCATCTTTATCATGTAATTGTGTGATTGCTTCCTGGAGCTTTTTATGATTTATCACAGAAAAGAAGTACTTAGTATTATCATCACCAAGGTGGATCCAAGTAGCTTTGCTCCTTTGTTGCAGATACATTTCAGCCAGGTATGAAGATTGCTTAAATTTCCTGAACTTCTGTCTCTCCTCCTCCTGTAGAGCTTTGTTCAATGATCCATTTGCAGAGCATTCTGGACTTGTTTTAAGGCCTCTCTGTCTATATCTACTTCATCAGTTATGTTCCTAAAGTTTCGAGTATTCAGGGCCCTCAAGTTCCTTTTCAACAACTTCATTTTCTTGACCACCTGTAGCATGCGACAACCTTCTATCTGCAGTTCCCATCCTGTTTTTACTATTTCTAAAAACTGGGGATGTTTTGACCAAATATTGCAGTACTTAAAAGATTTTTTGAGCCTTGAGGGTACACTTGTCAATGCTATTTTAGCTGGGCAGTGGTCACTAAAACCTTCTTGTAAGAATTTGGCATTACAAGAAGGCATATCATCCAACCAATCTCTGTTGACAAAGATCCAATCAACTTTTGAAAAAATTCTATTATCCCCATGCTTATCACTCCACGTATATCTGTTACCTTGTTGAGGAAATTGCAGCAAGCCACAAGAGTCCACACAGTTGTGGAACTCAATTACCTCTGCCAGTGTGACTGGAACCCCTCCAATCCTATCTTCTATATTTAAAACTGAGTTGAAATCTCCTAGTACCATCCAAGGAATTCCAATAGCAATGTTCTGGCCCTCCAAGTATTCCCACAGAACTCTTCTTTCCTCTCTCGTGTTGAAAGCATAGACTACAGTTAAGTGATATGTTACTTGCATGGGTACATAAGTCACTCTACAAGTAATTGCTTGTGCTGATTTTGTAATTATGTCCTCTCGATAGAAGTCAGGACTCCAGGTTATCCATATCCTCCCATTGTAATGGCATTCGAGATTAGTGATATACTGCCAACCATCAAACATTTTCTTGGCTATCTCTTCTATTTTGTTTATCTTGATTTTTGTTTCAAGTAATCCTACCAAACCTACATTTTCCATATGGCAAAGGAGCTTAACCTCCTTTTGCTTACTAGGGCCGTTAAGGCCCCTAACATTCCAGCATAACATGTTAACCATTCCCGGAGAGAGGGATAGCTTTCCCTCCCTCATTTTTAACGGCACTGCTCTGATATTTTTCCTTGTCCCCTGTTATTTCAAAGCCTGAAAACTATTCTTATACACAATTTGTTGCCCTTGCTTCTGTTTGACTAGCTGTTTGCTAGTGTTCAAAGGAGTGACCCAACCTAGTGGTTCTGGTGCCTTCTGTATTGTTCCTGGAATTATACATATCTGAACCTTCTATTGTTCCCTTCCCTGCTTCTTTTGTTGTGCGTTCTTATTTGGTACTTGATATTGATCTTTGTTCACAGAGTTCTCTACTTTGACCCGGACCCCTTCTTTTATAGTTTCCTCTTCTTTTGTATCCTGCTTCTTTGGTGGTGCATTAGTAGGCCTTTCCTTCTTCCTGTAATTCTCCACATCATGACCATACTTATGACAGAAGCTACATAGTGTAGGCTTCCAGTCGTACAGAACTTTCTGTTCTATCAGTGCCCCTTTTTCATTCCTAAATATTACCACATCCGGCAAGCTTCCATCAATCTCCGCCTCTACCAATAGTCTCGCAAAGTTAAGTCCAATTTTCCTCTCCGTACTGTGGTCCACCGTTAATGGTTTGCCAATTAGACTTCCTATCTTGCTGAGTCCTTTTGGGCTCCAGTATTTGAAGTCAAGCCCCGGGAGCCTTATCAAAATAGGAACTGTATGTAATTCCTCTCGTGTAAACTCCATATCAGGGTTCCATTCTTTGACAATAAAGGGTTAATTGTCGAAATGGTATATGCCTCCCTGCAGTACTTCGTTCTTCCTATTCTCAGAGTCTAAACGAACCAGAACAATACCATTCTTCATCATAGCGACCTTATTTATTCCATACTTTGCCCACACTCGCTGAATGTAACCATTCAACACTGCGAAAATGGGATGCGCACCAAGGACATAACACACAATTGGTGATTTCCAATATTCAATTTCTGTATTGATATCATCTAATACAATCTCACCAATTAATGACTCTCCATGTGTTTCTGGGTTTACGTACTCTAATTTAGAACCTGCATTTGAAATCTTCGAGATATCAAAGTTATCCCAAATTGATGCCTTCACCTTCAGACCTTCGAATTCTGCTTCTGCCTCATCTGCCCACAGTTGTTTACTTGTACTAGATGTTTGAATTACCTATGTCCATAGCTTTTGAGCTTGTGCTGTTGTAATTTCTTCAATCCCCTTCAGCTTCTGTTTGGTGTTGTTTGATCCACTTCCTGCTAGGGATTCCTCCCCCACTTGTTGTATTGTTGATTGAACCTCTTTTCGTCCTCCTCGCTGTGCTACTGCCTGCGAGGATGATTCTAAAGCCATTTTCGCCTTCTGGATGGGATACAAACTCTCTTTCCTCCCATGGATGGCGCACGTTAGTTAACATGCACCGAGAGAAAATGCATCCCTTAGGTTTTTTATTTAAATTATTGAAAAATAATAAAAAGCAAAAAATGACACAAAAGATAAATACCATTCCTTGTTAAAGAGATGCAGTCACGTCACGGGACACAAGAATAAAAATTAATGCATCTTTTTAGAATTAAAAAGTGTAGAGAGACTCTCAATGCCAAAAATACTGTAACTTTCAGAGAAATCTGATTAGAGTAAGATGCTTACGGCAGCTTCAGGTATCTCTGAAAGTTATGTAACGACCCTGTCACACCTCATTTTTCACTACACCCCCGGAAGAGGTATAATAAAGGGAGTTTTCCAATTTAAGGACAATCGAAACGGGATTATTTTTCATTAAAAGATTCAGAGTCGTCACTTGGGAGATTTATGGTGTCCCAAGTCACCGGTTTAAAATCCCGAATCGAGGAAAAGAATGACTCTGTTTAACAGTCCGCGAACCAGAAATCCGAGCAAGGAATTCTGTTAACCCGGGAGAAGGTGTTAGGCATTCCCGAGTTCCGTGGTTCTAGCACGGTTGCTCAACTATTATAATTGGCTTAGTTATCTGATTTTAGAACATTTTGAACCTATGTGCAAATTTTAACTTTTAACCGCTTTTATTCATTTTAGAGAAGATTGAACGTCGTTTAAAATATGTCTTTGGATCGCGTCACATGAAATGCACCCGCAATTCGAAACACATTTTATTCAACGTTTTAAGATTTGGATTTGGGTCACATGAAATGCACATCCAAGTTTAGGAAAGTAGATTATTAAATAACGCGCCTAAAAGCAACTACGCGTTGTTAACTTTGCGAGGGCCATAGAAATTTCGCTAAATGGCACACCCCGAATTCTAAGTATAAAACAAAATTAACTAAACGAGGGCCATGCAATTGTCACTTTTGTTCGGCACGGCACACCTCGATTTTATTCTTTAAAGGATACTAAATTCGGAGGGCCATAACTTACTTTGTATTATTTAATATGGCTCACCCTCAATCTAACTAATAAGCTTAATCCGCTAGAACTAAATGTGATTAAAGGTCTCCATCCAACTGACTAATGATTCACGTGAAGAGAGCTACTTATTTCGAGTAAGGGATTAGCCCAGCACAAATGGACCAAAAACCCAACTGGTAAACCTGATACAATTAAACATGGTTGCAAGCTTAAATGCATGAAGAAATTGGGCTCCAGGTGAAGCCAGGCCCAGCGGTGTGATTACAAACGGACAATGGTTGCAACTGGGCCCGCGTTTGGCCCGGTTCTTGTGATCTAACTGGTCCATACCCAAGACACAATAATACAAGCACAATTGACGTTAACACATAAACATGAGATCCAATTAACAGATTTGAATTATGATTTAAATCCTTTCACACAAATTAACTGAACCAGAATCAAATTCATTTCATCATTCATTTTGAGCCAGGTTTGTTATGACCAAGCAACAATCACAATATACTAGTTATTTGATAAGAGGCTGCCCAGAATGATTGTATAAAAAGGCAATTGAACCTGCATAATAATAGCAATTTACCAATCACTTTCGAACAACCTAAATCACCAACTCCTTATACAACATATGAATCCTAATAGTAACTTTACCAGTGACAATGTAAACTCACATAACTTGCAACTTTGAGATTTGTTGAACCATAAATTCATTACTTGAATCACAGTTCTTCAATGACACAAATGTCTCACAAGCATTCTGATTTAGGACGTGGGGACAGGTGAATCAAATAAATATAAACCCAGAACACTAAACCCTCTTTGACACATCAATTGAAAGAAAATTTAACCAACCTTCGAGCTAAAACAACAATTCGAAATCCAAATATATCATGACTCTAACAGTCCAGCATTAATCACAGCCTGAAAAACTTGCTACTTAAACGGAAATTGACTAAACTACACTATGAACCAAATAAGCGAGATATGAACATCATGCAACAGACATGAGACAACATGTATGCTTCAAAATTCATTACAGATCACTAAAGAAATAAAAGCAAACGGAATGAAATTCAAGTGTGGCTTGTATTCAGTCAGGCTCCAACTCAAAATACATCATTTGTTGACAATGATTGGGAAGAATACCTGGAATTTGCAACAGAATAGGAGAAGGATAGTCAGCAACAGTAAAACAAAGCAACAGCAAATGAATTAACCCAGAAATAACCGAGGGAAAAATAGCTTTGAAACAAGTTTGAACCACCAGAACTCCTGAAGAATGTTCCGTAACCAAAGACAACCAAAAATTGGACCCAAAGCTCTTGAAAATCAACCAAAATCAAGTCATTTTCACCATTGACTATCCAGAAATGATTTCAGAAAATAAAAGCTTCGAGGATCGACCAATCCTTTAATGGAACAGTGTTTCTCTAGCTATTCTCAGCTGTTTTTGATTTTCAGGGTTATCTAACTTGTGAAATCTACCTTGCCTATCAAGTTTAGGGTGCCTTTATAGGCAAGGGACTAGGGCAGCAGTAAAATATTCAGATTTTGCCCTCTTACCCTTTCTCAATTTCATTTTTAGCTTAAAAG